ATATTATATATTAGACTTCCAAGTAGATCTCATTAATTAACCCTTATTCATCTTTGTCATTGCATGTTTTCTACAGCAAGGAATTAGGATATTCTCACCTGTCTTGTACCTGATTAGTACATAATTTAGGAATTATGCCATCTGAGCTAGAGTAAAATTGCCTTAGTGTTCTCTGCTGGTTATATAGGTCATGGGATACTTACTTGTGAAGCTGAAGAATTTCAGACCAGGTAATTGAAGACTAAAGTGGTATTACAGATATATACAGAAACGGATATCGATTTCATAAAATTATTTTGTATTCAAAAATGTAATGTTCTGTTTATATATTTTAACAACAATTTTCATGTAATAGCATTCAATAACCTAAATTACAAAGCAGCTTGGTTTGTTAACTGAATTTTTATCTATGATTTTCTAGTTACCACTCAGCATTTTAAAATCACATTTCACAAAGAGAATGTAAAGGCTTCTTTAAGTCACATTTTATATATAAAAAAACACAGACTGTGGTATTTGGAATGATTAAATGATCTCCTTGAGAATTTCAAGACTAAAATGTTCAGCTCTAATATACTAGTTCTGTATTCCAATCAAAGTTATAAATAAAAGGTAAAAAAAAAATACTTTTGTGCCCTATATTTCTCAAGTTCCTTTAATCCAGATGTCTTATTGTGTCTAACAGACATTAATCAATCAATCACAGAGGCTCTTATGTCACAGCAGGTATTATTGTCCCCATTTCACAAAAGAGGCTAGACTATTATACTGAACTTCTGGGGGAAAATTGTTTGAAAAAGTCTAAGGGTTATGTGTATTATCACTGTTTAGAAAATGACAAAGCAGAATGTTAACACCACAAAAAGGAAATTAACACCTTTTAAGATTGTGCAAACTGGCAAAGTGTAGTAAGATCCTTGAATAATTCCTTTGCTTCACTATTAGCTCTTTCCTTTGAATATCTTTTTTTTTTCCCCTTTCCTTTCTTTCTTTTAAGGGAAACAGTCCAAGGTAATCAAATCACAAAGGAAAGCAGGTGACAAGAAACTGTATTCTGTTTGAATAACTGAACTAAATTTATCCCAATATGCTATATTTTTATGACTGACAATGATTATAGATGTCAGGTTTGTAGCTCTAGCTGTTATTACAACATAAACTGACATTTTCAAGTGCCACTATTTTACCATGGNTGCATCATTTCACTATTTAACCAACTCAATTGACATTACAATTTCCCCACATCGATGAAAATGTAAGTTCCTTCTAATTGAAACTTCTCTTCAGGTCAATATTCATGATAAAATGCAGTGCCTAAAACCCAATGGAAAATAGGTTGATCTCTTATATGTGAAATATAAAACAGGTTTCTTGCAGGCAATTGATTGGTACTTTTAAATAACCAAATAGCTCTTATAGTAGTAGCATTTTGTCTGATTAGAGTATACAAAATTTAAGAATGAAAAGGACTGCTTAAGTATCAAAAAGTAAAAAAGACAAAATATCACCTCATGCAATAGAGTGAATTGAAGATTCTTTCATCTTACCACCATGAATGATCATTTTGCCATTCACAAAAGCTACAATTAAAGCTAGTGCATTGTTCCAATTGTCACCTATTTTATGCTCCAAACTAGTTTAAAATAATAAGTGAACTATCATTCTGATACATTTACAATAAACATAGCAGCACAACCAGTTTCAGTTCACTTCATAGGCATCACAGTTATCTCACAGTCTTATTCTAATCGTACTGTAGTCATTTCAAAGTCATGTTGCAGTCACAACACATAACTTAGCAATAATTATTTCACATTATTACTACACAGAATTGTTTCTGTGTGCTATGGGATAGCTCTCACTGTAGTCAAAACCCATTATTACCCTACGCTCATAAAT